TCTAAACGATTTTGTTGTGATGAACGAACTTTTGCTGCTGCTTCATTGATAAAATCATCCATTCGTTTGTCACCCAGATCATCTGAAGCGTCGGATTTGCTTATCGTCGTTGAAGATGCCGACGAACCCAGTTGAGAATCTCTCTCTCCATCAGCAAGATCTTGTATTGACCAAGATTGATTGATGGGAGTGGTGGGTGCCTAAAATGAAAAACAAGGGTGTAGACGTGTTACAGTCAAGATCTTTACCTCATTCATAGCTTTGTATTTATCCTCATTGTCTTCAATATCGCCTGCTTCCGTATCAAAATCGTATTCTTCTTTATTTTCCAGAAGCTCGTTATCATCAGCGATGGACATGCGATCATCTTTTTGTAAAACCTGTCTCAGTCGTGCCGTAGTTAAAGGTATTGGATCTAAATTGGCTAATGTCTGAAAATCATCAATGCCGATAATTTTGTTTTTGTTGCGTGAATTATTCGAAATCATCTTTGGTATCCATCGAATAAAACCGGTGACGCTTCCATTTTCACTGTTAAATGAAAATGTTTGTAAATCAAATAGTAATTTATCATGACAAACACGAGAAAGTTCTAAACAAATGTGTTTTCGTCGATAATTCATGGTGTGATCTAATTGAGCACTGGTCTTGGCATCACAGAAATACCACGAATCAAGATGAACTTTAAAGTTACTATCATAAACCGTCGGTATGGTTAACATCATCAATGATGGCTCTGTTTCAGCTTTAGGATATTTGGTAAACATGATTTGCCATAGACAATAACAACTGAAATTTAAGATCGATGAGCCTCGACAACGAATCCAGGCGATCCTTTGAGTAAAATCAGCGTCTTTTCCTGAACGTAGAAATTGAATTAACGAAACAGTATAAGTTCCAGCGCGTACTCGCAAATGAATCTCGCGTTTAAATTTTTGTTCTGGTTTGACTATTAGAGATCCTTGAAGAGTTTCCGACTCCGATTCGGAAAATGAAAACCATTTCTGTTCTTTAAATGGTTTGTATTCCCAAAAACAATCAACTACATAATCTTCATCTTCTTCACGAATGGGTAAATGTGGCAATTCGTTGGTTTTGATGGAATAACTAAGAATAAGATTCTCCATAAAATATTTGATAATGCTTGGTTTCTTTAGGCCATTATCGATCGGTGTTTCATAAGCATGGTTCCTGAGGAAACAATCAGCACCATGTTCGAATAAGAATTTCACGATTTCCAAATGACCAGCAAAACAAGCCCCGTGTAGCGCAGTCGAACCAGCCGATGGATTTGGAACGAAATCAGGATCGTCTTTGACTGATTTTGACAA